CTCATAAGTAAAAAATGATTACTAAAATTACTAATAAATATTTTTGTAAAAGTACAAAGTTGTTTTTTTTATTTAGCCTTTTACAAAATTAAATCGCCGAAAATAATGTTCTTTAATTTGCTGAAATGTGACTTCTAAAAATAAATGACTAAGTAACAATGAATTAAATAAATGCTCTATGGGGCAAATCCTGAGAAGTTATTCTGCCGCAAGGTTTCTTGGGATTTGTAGTTCACAGCAGGAAGTAGCTGCGGTCTAACGAGCTTGTTTTGGGGCGTTTACTTAATATTAGTTTACATTTCTAATGAAAGATGATGGATTTGATGACTGAGTAGGGATATGCCTTGATGTATTTCATACGTAAGTATATTTAATGCTAGTTTTTGTCTTTAGGAAGTCGCAGTTTTTCTCAGCTAAAGGCAGTAGTGTTGCAGAAGCTTGCTAGCTTCGCCCCTATTACTAATTAGCTTAGCTTAACCTTTAACTTATAAATGCTGATTTGTGAAGCATGCTGTTTAGGCAGCTACTTTTCTACAGATTTACAGTAAATTTACAAACAAAACAGATAATAGTTTATGTCATGTTTGTTTGTTTATCAGACTCGCAGAGAGAAAAACAAGCTAGCTGGGGAGCTAACAGCCGCTAGCTGAGCGAGAGAAGCTAAAATGTCAGTTTAGCTTTAGATGAGAGGATGAATAGAAAACAAACAATCTAAGGCTGATTGTTTTTATTCTTTTTTATTGTATATATTTTACTAACAATTATACAGAAGAACAGCAGACAGGTGCTCTAAAAACAACAATATACAAAACACAAAATACATTATTAATTGAAAAATATCGGTGGAAGTGTTTCTCTGTTTCTAATCAATTAAAGCGAATTTAATGAATTCTTTGAATTTATGGAAAAAAACATCTGAAGTTGGGAATAATTAATTCAATTTTGGAATGATTATATTTGTGTTTATGAAATTAACCAATAAAAATGAGCAGGTTTGTGATAAAAGTAACATTAGTGTCTTTATGGGAAAGATACATGTTTACACCCAGTCAACTACAATCTATGTTTTAAATTTAAAAATTATAGAATATTATATATTATATTGTTCAAGAAGAGTGCAAACATTGACAGAGTGGGTACAGTCATAGAATAAATAACTGAGACAAGGTTTCCTTTTCAATATTACAAAAACTGAATTTATCTTGAATGTGTGAGGATTTAGAAACATATACATTTTTAGGATATATTGTGTAGAATTTTTATGTGAGTCTTCTTTATCTAATTAAATATACAGCAGTTATAGGGCAATAATAACCAGGCCTTCTTCTTTCCTTAAAGATGTTATCCCAAAATGCTTTTCCTCCTGGATTTATCCTCCTCTTTACGTAGAAAGAATTACGTATATATTTGTTTTTGCATTTCAGGTCCAGTAGATCAAACCGTTTATCATAAGAAGAGATTCTTATTCTTAGAGCTTCATTTTACTGAAAATGGCTCCAGATCAGGAGAGAAAGACCATTAGGGATACATTAGTTACGTAATTAAATTCTTTGTATGTGACAGGAAATGCGCTCATAACTCAGCACTATAGCATGAGAATCAAAAAGTTCACACCCAAAAATAATGTTTTATCAACACAGTGATGTAAAAATATTCACTTTTTCCTGATGGTAATATCTTCATTGTTCCACATAAAGGTTTTGTGAGGAGAAAAGTTGTGGGAGTAGCAGAGTTTCCTTGCTAAGAGAGCCTGTTGGTGAAATTTGGAGAGTTTTAAAAGTCGTTTTGTAAAACTGTAAGTACAGATAAGTAAAAAAAGCAGACCACTAAGCTCAGGGGGATTGTTGTTGCCTTAAACCAAACAGTTACGTCAGCAATCAGTCATACAGAAATGCACTTTATTGTCCCACAGTTGGTCAATTCAGGAGTTTATTGCAACGCAGCTCAAAGCTAAAAAGAAGCAAATAAACAGTTAAACCAAATAATCTATGTGATGCGTCTGTTAGTCAGCAGCTGTGGACTCTGTGACAATCATCATGTCAGATAAACAGGTCTGTTAGAGGCTGGGTGGGTTTTTATATTTTATATACTGTAATAATCCCAGAGGGAAATTACTTCTCTGCATTTAGCCCCTCCCCTTGGGGGGCAGTTACAGACTCTGAGCCGTTTCTTCTCTAAAACCACTTCAGTTATTTCTAGAAAAACAGAAAACCTTCCAGCCAAATAGCCAATCAAATGCTTCTGCTGATCCAGCGTCTCGGCGCTGATAAGCTTTTCTAACGTGTGTTGTTGTTTCAGCTGAGGGCAGCCTGACAAACGCGTCCCGTCCGTACGTCGGCAGCATGCAGCCGGTGTTTAGGAGAGATGCTGGAGTTTGGACTCAAACCAAAAGTCTTCTCTATAAGAACCTGCTGATCAAATGGAGGACCAAGCAGCAGAGCCTTCAGGTATTTCCTGTTTCTGCTGACCTCATGCTTATTTCTATTCTTCATGTTTCTGCAACTAGCTGGGAAAAACCTACGCGTTGTTTGAAAGAAGGAATGAAATCTGTATGTTTGGGATAACATGTATCCTAAGCTCCCCTCTGACATCCTAGTGTGTTTGGTTTATGGCATATTAACAGTCCGCACCCCACCCTCAGCCAGTCTGTCTGTGAGTCATCTAATCTGATTATTGCTTTCTTGCAGCATCAACTCTCCATCCTTTCCAGTTCCTCTTTGTCAGGCCATGCAGTTTTAATTAGATGCATTTTAATATCACAGCATAGCAGCTTTGCTCTCCTACTGTTTCACATTAGCTGTCCTGCTAGCGTCTAACCAAGGTGACCAGCTGTGTTGCTTCTGTCATCTGGAACGATTCCATTGATTTAAAGCCGTTTTTCATTTCTTGGTCTTATTGTTCCTCCCGGCTGTTGTTCCTAATGGGATGTCTTTGGCAGCCTTACTTTAACTCATCTAAAGTTTATTCCATGTTCCCCTTTTCACAGAATTCAGAAACTAAACACTGATAGAAGTATTTATGTAAATGTTTAACATCTACGGGACGCATTTAGTATGTGAGATAGAGTCCTGCACGGGTTGAGTTTTACCAACCCGCACCCGCCCGAACCCGTTAGGATGACTACCGAACCACCCACAGATATCTTCAATTCAAATCCGAACCCGACCCGTTAACACATCAAGTAATAGGCTATAGT